CTGGCGTGTCCTGGAAGAGGTTGAGACGCTCTCGGATCACGTGTATATCCGATTTGAGCTCTCCCGGACCCAGGACTCCAGTAGGGGTCACGTGGCGCGGCGTTTATCCCGCTTTCCGCGGTGGGCTGTTGCCAGACTGAACCGGGACCTACTAGAGGAGGCAGCCATAATTCACTCGTGGCTGTCTCCTCAGGCTCCGACCGAGGAGGTCGACGTGGGGGCTGGTCGCCTTCGCGATGCGATTACGCATGTATGCGATGCGGCCATGCCCCACATTCGAGGTCGTCGGCCTCCAAGGAAGGAGGTCTACTGGTGGTTCCAGGAGCTGGCGGACCTCCGTGCGGCCTGTACACGTGCCCGGAGGTCCTACACGCGCAGTCGGCGGCGTCACCGTGGAGACGGTGAGGAGGACCGGCTTCATGAGGAGTACCGACAGGCGCGGAAAACTCTGAAGCTGGCCATTAGCCGCGCCAAAGAAGAAAAAAGACAGGAGATGCTGGAGGGTCTTAATCGTGACCCCTGGGGTCGCCCTTATCGCGCGGTGCGACAAAAGCTCCGCGCGTCGGGCCCCCCCCTTACGGAGACTCTCCAGCCCAGCTTCCTGCGAGAAGTGGTTGAGGGCCTTTTCCCACAACGAGCGGAACACACTCCCCCGGCGATGGCCTCCTTGGCCGGAGACGACGGGGAGCACGGGGAGGATAATGTTCCGCCCGTCCGGGATTCGGAGGTAGGGGCGGCTGTTCTACGGATCCGTTCCAAGAACACCGCCCCTGGGCCAGACGGGGTACCGGCCCGAGTGCTGGCCCTGGCCCTCAACCACATGGCAGACCGCCTCGGGGAGGTGTTCGACGCTAGCTTGGCGTCGGCACGCTTCCCTGAGTGCTGGAAGAGCGGGAAGCTGGTCCTATTGAGGAAGCCGGGACGGCCTGCCGATTCGGTCGCGGCCTATAGGCCCATCGTGCTGCTGGACGAGGCGGGTAAATTGTTTGAGAGGGTTCTTTCTGCCCGCATCGTCCGGCACCTCTGCGAGGTGGGCCCCGATCTGTCGGACGCCCAATTTGGTTTTCGGGCGGGGCGTTCGACAGTCGACGCCGTGTTGAGCCTGAGGGCCGTGACCGAAGAGGCCGTGAGCTGTGGCGGCGTGCTGTTGGCGGTGTCATTAGACATCGCCAACGCATTCAATAGTCTGCCATTCAGCTGCATCAGGGAAGCACTCCACTATCATGGGGTGCCAAAGTACCTGAGGCGGCTAGTGGCAGACTATTTAGAGGAGCGTACCGTCGTGTACGAGGACCGAGAAGGTAATTTGAGGAGTCGGCCCATGTCGTGCGGTGTTCCACAGGGGTCTGTTCTTGGACCCCTCTTGTGGAACATAGGGTACGACTGGGCCCTTCGCGCCGATTTCCCCCCTGGGCTGGGTGTAATCTGTTACGCAGACGATACCCTGGTGACAGCCCGGGGGGCAAACTTCCAAGAGGCGGCGCGCCTGGCCACAGGGGGAGTCTCCCTGGTGGTCGGGCGCATTGAGGCGCTGGGCTTACAGGTGGCCCTAGATAAGACGGAGGCCCTGTTATTTCATGGGCCCCGTCGTGGTCCACCCCCTGGCGCCTCAATCGTGGTCAACTCGGTCCTCGTACCGGTTCGGGCCCAGATGAAATATCTGGGCCTGATCCTCGACGGGAGGTGGCTCTTCGACGAGCACTTCCGACAGCTTGCTCCAAAGCTGGTCGGCGCTGCGTCTGCCCTAGGGCGACTTTTGCCCAATATGGGTGGACCCAGCGTCGCGACAAGACGGCTGTACACGGGGGTTGTCCGGTCTATGGCACTGTACGGTGCACCGGTGTGGGCGGCGGCTCTGACCGCCCAGAATAGGGTACGCCTCTGGCGCCCTCAGAGGGTAATGGCGGTCAGAGCCATACGCGGTTACCGCACCGTTTCGACGGAGGTGGCATGCGCGTTGGCCGGAACTCCCCCGTGGGATTTGGAGGCGGAAGTGCTCGCCGATGTTTATCGGCGAGTGGCTGACTCCCGGGCGGAGAGCGGATTTCGCCCTCCGCCCGAGGATGTGCGCGAGTGGCGCGAAGCCGCTCGCCGAGCCACGATGGCTCGTTGGTCGTTCCGGCTGGAGACTCCACGCGCTGGCTTCGCCGCCGTGGAGGCTCTCCAGCCGGTCATCGCCGAGTGGGCAGGGCGGCAGCACGGGACCCTTCCTTCCGGCTGACGCAGGTGCTTTCCGGGCACGGTTGCTTCGGAAAGTACCTGCACACGGTCGCTAGGAGGGAACTGAGTCCCGCCTGCCACCACTGCGACTGCAGTGAGGACTCGGCCCAGCACACGCTGGCGGTCTGCCCCGCATGGGCGGCGCAGCGCCGGGCCCTCACTGCAGTCATCGGAGTGGATCTCTCGCTACCGGCCGTAGTACGCTCCATGGCCGGTAGCGACAGTTGTTTTACCGCGGTCGCAACCTTCTGCGAGGTAGTAATCTCGCGGAAGGAGGCGGCGGAGAGGGCCCGGGAGGACGACCTCCACTCGGACCCGATCCGCCGCCGGCGAACCGGGCGGCGGAGGCCCGCCTATCACAGCCTCATGCCGCCCTGAGTGTGGCCGCGGGTGGACGGGGTGGGTTTCCCCTCCACCCGCATTAGTTTGGCCAGCCGCGAGGGGGCGGCGTCCGCGTGTGCCGGACGTCGCTTAAAGAGAGGAAAATATATTGAGACGGAGCCCGCACCAGGAGCGGGCTGGCGCTAGGAGGGGTCCGGATGTCTTAACAACAGCTGTTCCCGGATCCCTCCTGTTACAGGCGCAGAGTGGCACACCGTGTGGTTTTAGTCGGTCCGAGTCCGACACACCACCCCGCCGCAAACCCCGGAGGGGTGACGGTCCGAGGGGATTTCCAGACGTTAAAAAAAAAAAAAAAAAAAAAAAAGGGTTTGTTTCAAGTTTTCCTTCTCTCTGCAGTGTTGTTGTCCTGCGTAGTTTTCTCCCTTAGTCGACTCTTACGACACCCACGGGATGAATAGGGGTGGTGACACTCTGTATTCTTAATCCGTCACCACACGGACAACCACTACCACCAACGGAAACTAAAAGTACATAAATCGCTAAAAATCAATTTTGAATTGTACCTTTCATATATTTTACCTAAAAATAATTATTCATCTCTGAAATCTTTTAATACTAAGTATGAAGTTGTATGCCAAAATTCTGATTTACTATCCATTTACAATACATGTGCCTCAAAAATGATTAACAAATGCTCTGAATTTGAACTTTGTGAGTCAGGCTGGACAATTGAGTCAATTAGCCATTTAGAAATTAATATTCTAAAATACAACCCCTTAAGAGCAGGTTCATATATTCCATTAACCGAAAATATTCGAAACACAAAATCATGCCTGAATATAGTTAATAAAGACGAACATTGTTTTCTGTGGTGTATAATAGCCTATTTGTATCCTACTAAAAACAATCCAAATAGAGTGACTTCATACCCACATTACTCAAGACTTCTGAATATAACAAAAATGTCATTTCCACCTTGTTTCACAGATATCAAATTATTTGAAAATCTGAATGCAAGTTTGAGCATTAACATTTATGGCTTAGATTCAAAAAATCGAGTGACAGGACCGTTGTATAAAACTGTAAAAAGAAAACTACATCACGTTAACTTACTTTATATCAATAAAAGGGGTAAAAATCATTTTTATTTAATAATTTTTTTTAATAAACTTGTGCATAATCAATTAACTAAGCATCAGTCAAAGATACATTTATGCGATGAGTGTTTCACATATTTCAATACACCAGAGAAATTTATTAATCATAACTGTGCAAGAGTAAAAACTATACTTCCTGATCATAACTCTAAACAACATTTTTCTAATTTCGAAAGAACTCAAAGAATTCCTATAGTTATTTATGGTGACTTTGAGAGCTTGTTACGAGAATATTCTGACAAAAATAAAACTAATTATGTTGAAAATTTACTAGAGCTATAAGCAAAGATGTAAAAAGGTTATATCAAATAATTTCTGAAACAAAAACTATTATTATCAGTGAAAATGAACGCCATTCTTTTAACAATGCAAAGATATGTTATTTATGTAAGAAAAAAATTTGTGATACAGATATAAAAGTTGCAGATCATGATCATTTTACAGGAAAATATAGAGGACCTGTACATAGTAAATGTAATTTAAAAGCTAAAACATGTCAGTTTATACCTATAATATTCCATAATCTTTCTTGCTATGATTGTTATTTGTTTATAAAAGAACTTTCTACTATTTGCGGACGCTTAAATTTAATTCCAAATAATAAAGAAAAATATATTTCATTTACAAAATGTAGGTCAATTAAAATTTATAGACTCGTTTAATTTTTTGAGTTCAAGCCTTGATAATTTAGTAAAATCAATGAAACCTGTGGATTTTTATAGCTTACGGAAATGTATCAAAGATGAATACTTATTTAAATTAATTTGCAGACAAGGTATTTACTGCAATGAATATATTGATTCATGGAATCGTTACGAAGAAAAAAAATTACCAGATCAAACAAAATTCTATAGTACTTTAACATTTCAATCTATTTCTGATGATGATTATAAACATGCATTAAAAGTTTGGAATGTCTTTAATATTTCTAATCTGGGAGAATATACTAATTTATAATATCTCAAAAGTGATGTCCTACTTTTATGTGACGTATTTGAAAAATTTAGAACTATGAGCTTGAAATATTACAACCTTGATCCTTGTTATTATGTATCTTCACCATCATTAAGTTTTTTTTTTATATATATATATAACTGTCAACCTCTTGCATGACAAGAGTCTTTGGTATGCTCTGTTTCTTTAGTATGCCTTGTTTTATTTATTTGTTCTTATTTACAACAATTTTGCAAATTTTGGTTGCGAATTCTAAAAATTGCGGCCTTGTATCCTTTGTTTCCAGTAGGTGGTGTGCCTCTTTCCTCTCGATTTTTTGCGGGGCAGTCAAATATGATGTGCAGGATCTTCGTCCTGTGCTGGGTCGCAGATACATGACGGGCTCTCCCGACACCTGAAGCGATGCAGGTATTGGGAGAACCCCCCATGTCCCGTTAGTATCTGCGTAGCAACGCCTTGGGGCCGGATCTTCCGCATCAGGCAGTACGCATCTCTCGCGTCTGGGAAGAACACTCTCGTGACGGAGGCCTCGTGGCCCGACTGGTATCTCCGGTTCCATTCGTCGAGCGAATCGCTGCGTATCTGGCGATTGACGAATGAAACCGGGCACAGGTCGTAGTCGGGCTTCCTCCGACTCGAGAGTGCTGCCTCCTTAGCCAACTGGTTGGCGCGCTCATTACCGTCGATGCCGGCGTTGGCCTTGATCCAGAACAAAGTTACATCTTTGCCCTGACTCAAGGCCTCGCTGAAGTTTCGGCGCGCCTGGATTGCGAGAGGATGCAGGGTTCCGGGGTTCGTCACCGTCTCCAGCGCCGCCCTCGAGTCGCTGTAGATGCCGCAGCTCCCCGCACTGCAACTGAGGATTTCGCTCGAAGCTCTGCGTATGGCCAAGAGTTCGCCCAGTTTTCGGCTCCACACTTCGGCCCGGCTGTCCCATATGGACAGCGCGGCGCCGATCTTGCCCTGGAGCTTGCTACCATCTGTGAAGATACGTAGCGACTGCACGTTGTGTTGGTCTACCAGGCTTTGGTCCTCCAGACTCTGGAACCTCAAGTTCATACGCAGGGCCGGATGTGGTAGTTCCGCATATCGCACCACACGTTCTACCTCCCGGTCCCCCAGCACTAGCCGAGTCGACCCTTTGCGCGCTTCGTAGAGAGCGGCTGCTTTTTTTATACGAAGGTCCAGAGGTAGTAACCCGGCCAGTAGTAGGGCCAAGTTTAGGGAGACAGTGCGGTACGATTTGCAGATCTTCTGAGCGAATCCTCTTTGCACAGTGTCGAGGAGCTTGCGGACACCCAGCTTGTCAACGGCGGGAGCATATGCGGCTGCCGCATACGTGATGACCGGTTCTACTGTTGCGGTGTATATGATGCGTACGACCTCCGGGTGCAGCCCCCAGCTTATTTTCGCCGTTCTCGAGAGCTGTTTGTAAATATTTAGAGCCTTCCTACAGACGACGCTGACATGGGTGTTAAACGTCAGCTTGTCGTCTATAGTAAGCCCCAAAATCCTCAGCTCTCGGGACATGCCAGGAGCGGGGTGTCATGCTTGAGCTTGTTGGTCAGCAGCATGTCGCAGGTCTTATGTGGCGCAAATTTTAATTTGTTTTTGACGCCCCACCCCTGAACAAAGTCAAGGGCGGCATTGCCATGTCGCTGCACCTCTAACGCAGTATACTCCGCGAACAGCAGAACCACGTCATCCGCAAACGCTTGGCAGGTGACGCCCGGTTCTTGCAGACCCTTCAGGAGCGGGTCTAGGAGGATATTCCATAGGATAGGTCCGCTTATGGACCCTTGGACGCAGCCCTTTTGGGTTTCTGGGCGATGTTCCGCCCCGGCGTACCTCAGCTTCACACATCTGTCGTCTAGGTAGCTGTGCAGCAGACGCCTGATATTGACCGAGCAACCTTCCTCAGCCAGTCGGACCTTGATGGCGGGCCACCATGCACTGTCGAAGGCGCCCTCTATATCCAGTGAGACTAGCGTGACCAACTTCTTCAGCTTGATTACTGCTTTAATTTGGTTCACTAGAATATAGAGGGCGTCCTCGGTGCTCCTCTGGGGCATGAAGCCATACTGGCGAGTACTGAGCCTCGGTACCAGATGCCACTGGAGCCTCGCTACTACCATTTTCTCCAGGACTTTTTCCAATACAGGCAACAGACCGATTGGCCTGTATGACTTGGCGCTCTGATAGTCCTCCTTGCCCGGCTTCCTTAACACCACGGCTGTGGCCTCCTTCCACTTTTTGGGGAAGTGGCCCAGGGTGAGGCACTTATTGGCCAGGGCAAGGAAGGTATCAGGGTCCCGGAGAATGGTCTGACGTCAGATGTCCGCCGTGAAGCCATCTGCACCTGGCGCCTTCTTCGGGTTGAAGCTGGACACCGCGGTCATCATCTCGCGCGTTGTAAACGGCGGGTCATGCACCTCAACATAGACCCGATCGTTTACCCGCTGTGCGAGATCCCGGGTGTCCCTGTGGTGTTGGCTATCAGTTGTGTGTGAGTCCTCCGAGTAGAAGGTCTCCGCCAGGTGAGAAGCAGATTCGGCGGGGCTAAGTGGTACGCCGTTCTTGATCAGGGCTACGTCCTCTTCCCTCTTTTTAGTCCTCCCGATTACTCGGTTAATACCCTCCCAGACCCCCTGCCTATCCTGCCTGGTGCAGAAGTCCTTCCAGCTCTGGATTTGGGCACACCTCGCTTTCCTTTCATAGTCTTCTTTAAATTGCAGGTACTCAGCAACGACATGTTCCCTATGGATCGGAGCGTCACAGCGGATTCTCCTCTTCCTGGTGGTGACTTCCCGCTTCAACGCAGCGAGCTCATTGGACCACCACGGCAAAGTAAGTTTGCTCTTTGTTTTAATTTAGGGGATATTAATTTTGGAAGCTGTTTGTATTATTTCCAAATAAGACTCTACAGTACCTTCTAGTTCAGTTTTGTTTTGAATTTTTTCTATTTCATTTTTATTAATTTTGTTTTCTATTTGTAATTGGGCCAGTTTGTCACGAAACTGGCTCCAATTAGCTTTTCTAGTGTTGTAGAGCCTTGTTGTAGTTTTGATATTAATTCCGAATTTTTCTTGCCGAATGTAAAATACGATGCCGTTGTGGTCGGAGCTAGTCATGCCGACGTCTACTCGCCATCCTTCCACCAGGCCGATTAGATCCGCTGAGCAGACCGTAAGGTCGTCATGGCTGCTAAAGGTTTTGCCGCCCCTGATGGTATAAAACGTAGGTACATTGCCGCTATTGAGCACCTGCAAGTCCAACTCCTCCAATGTGCCACATAGTTCCTCTCCTCACTTATCTTCGGTGTTACTTCCCCACCAGGAACTTTTGGCGTTAACGTCCCCACCGATGAGCAGGCGTCGGTGTCCCAGCCCCCCGCCGAATCACTCGGAGCTGCTCAAGGTAGTCGTCAATGGGTTTATCTGGCTCGTAGTAGACTGAGACTACCGCGAGGTTCCAGGCGCGGGTTCGGATCCTCACCACTACGGTGTTGTGTGTGGTGAGTTCTGGACACTGTGTCACATCTAGGTCTGTGTCGAAGACCGCAATTGCAGCCTTCACAATTCCACTTCCATCTTCCGGCGCCTGGAATATGCGCGCCCCGCGATAGTCTCTCATCCTTTGGATGTTGCCCACATACGGCTCTGGTATAAGAGCCATTGCCACTCCATTTTCCTCGGCAACCCCGAACAACTCGGCGGTCGCTAGTTCCTTCCTCTGCAGGTTCGCCTGCACAATCGGGTACGCCCTGATCCCAGTGGGTTGTGTGCTCCTATTTTCTGCGGTGGGGACCTTAGCAGTATGCTACTTTTGCCAACGCATCCCACTTGCGCCGGACAGGGCAATCCATACTGAATGCACTATGCCCGGTCGCGTCTAGTCCGGCTCTGGTCCAGTTGCAACAAGTGGGAGGTGCGTTGGCGAGCACATCCGGGTAGTTCCTACGCTGGTGGATCCCGCCGCAGTGGCCGCAGACTTCCCCTTTCTCTTGCTCTTGGCAGAGGCGTTTGCTGTGCCCATACCCCAGGCACCCTGAGCATTGGACCAGGGGAGACTGGTCCTCCACCCCAACTCGCTGGATATCTATGTACACAGCAGACGCCTCTGTCATACGGCCCCAGAGCTTGGGAGACACTCTTGCGACTATGTGGCACATTAAAGGATTCCTAGCCGCTTTTCTAAATTTTATCTCCAGTTTGTCATCCTCAGCTGCAAGCTCAAAAAAGAGTGCAGCGTTTTGTATCCTCAGGGCCTTTACAATGTCCTCGTCCTTATTATACCTGAGGACAACGAGTGGGTCCTGATTCCTTACGTCCTGAACGTCCAGCTATTGGTCTGCTGTTTTTAATTTGTTTCGGACCCTACTCCTCTCTTCTTCGTTCCTGCAGCTGATTATGACTTTTCTGTCTTTTGCCTTCCTTACTCTTTCTATGCAAATACCGTCTTCCTTAGCCTTCATTGCGGTTCTTATTTTGCCGAGTACATCTTCCCCGGTGTCTTTGGTGTCTTTAGAGGCGACCACTACCGATTGCAGCGCGGGTTGCACCGGGGATGGCTTGGCCCGCGCCACTACCGCCGCGTATGTGGTCGCCTCTGACTTTGACACTAGAGCCTCTTTTAGCTCCTGAATTCTTTTGCCGCTCTCTCTCATGAGCTCACTGTGGTCAGCCAATGAGGAGAGCAGGTGGGAGTACTATTCATTAGCTGAGCTCTCTATTTTATTTCCTTTTTTGTTCTGTCGCTCTTTTTTCTGCAGGTTTTTTCCGTCTCTTGTATTTAGCCCTTTCTCCAGTTCTGCCTCCTTCACCAACTGGTAGAGGCTGTCAATGGCTTGGATGACGACCGCTTTAATTTCGGTCTTCAAGTTTCGGGACTCCTTCATGGCGGTTTTAGCCTTCGTCACCAAATTTCGTGCCTCCTGTGTCCTGCTGGTGGTTTTGGTTGTTGTTGCCGTCAGGCTGTCCGCTACCCCCACCAAGTCTTTTTGAGCAGTTGGTAGGCTTAAGGGGATTGTGGTTTTTGGTTTCTTGGGCTTCGTGGGAGCGGCGGACACCGATATCGGTTAGGGGCCTTTACTGGCCTCCCACTCCCCAACACTCCACCTGACGTTTGTCTGAGTCGCGGTGCGCTCTGTGGGACTCGTGTTCGGCATCGCGTCAGGGGGAGTAGCCTGGGAGGGAGAGGCCGAAGGGGTTTGTTTTTTGGCTGGAGTGCGGAAACCAAACATACTGGAAGACGGGAGGGACAGTTTTAGGGTAAGTAGAAGTTAATAATTTGTAAATGATTAGGCTTGTAGAGTTTGTATAAGGAGTGTGTATAAATACAATATTAATAATGAAGACAGTTAAAAATAATTTTAAAACAAAATTACAGCTAATGTCCTTGCAGGGCCCAGCGCTCAGTCCCGTGTGGGTGACATAGCAGGGAAACGCTTCTAACTGGGAAGAAGTGTCCAAAGTACACCCCCTGTGATCCAGCTTGCTGAGACCTGCTCAGAGCCACATACTTTAAAATATGGTACAACACAAACCTAAAATAAAATAATATACAATCAATAATTTGGTCAATAAACCAAAGTAAAATATTAATAAAATGACTAATGATGATAAAACTTAAAATTGGACAAAACAACAACCTTAAACAAGTTGCGGTCAATAAACCGTCTGACATGCACAATACAAATTGGGTCAATAGATCGACGTGTCAGTAAACTAAGATGTATACACGTGACAAGGAGACTGATTCAGATCGGAAGACTAGAATCACCAGAGTGTCCCTTGCGGCTGGAAGCTGGACTTATATATGCTCGGTTTGTGAAATTTCTAGAAAGAATCCCTTCTTTATTTAAACATGAATGGGAGCCCAATCGAATTCAAATTATCATTGAGGTTAACACGACTCAATTCAACAGTAACCCGCTTCCTACCATAACAGGACACTTTTAACACCAATACAATTTGACAGGATAAACTATTACTACGACTTACCAAAAAAAACCACGCCATCTAGTGGTCCGATGGCGGACGAAGAGACATCAATACTATAGTTACAATCTACTTCGGATAAATCAATAAATGCGACGCGAGGCGACAGGTGTCACTGTTTACAACTCCGTACGCAATACAAATAAAATGTATAAATAACTGTTACATATTAAGACTTTTATAAAAAGAAGGAGGGTAGTCAAGTGTACAAATAAAAAAATGTGCTCTGTATTTATATTGATTTTAAAAATAGTTAATATAGCTAATTAATGTGAAGTAAGTGTTAAAAGTACTTTATATCCTCAATTGCACTGGATTAACTTACTGTGTTGGTTCTATCCACTTTCACTTGCACTAATAAAACATCACTATGGATCTATACACCAAATTATCAACTTGTATGGAGGAGATGTCTTCTAGTTTTGAATCACGCTGCATGCTGCAGTATGAAAAAGACCTTAAGAATGCAACAGGTACTGAGACTGCTCACAAAACTATTTCCAGCTTATCACGGGAGTTCACTGACTTCAAGGCGCTTATTTGGAGGACAATGAGTATGTTGAAGTCACAAATGGAGCTGCTTCTACTTGGGTTGCATAGACATGAGATGGCATCAAGAAGAAAGTTTCTGCTGTTGCATGGTTTGTGTGAGGAGAAGGATGAGGCTTTTCTTTCCCGGACCATCTCAGTACTAACTGACAAAATTAAATTGCCGAACATTGCACCACAGGATGTTGAATCATGCTACCGACTTGGAAGCAACAGCTAGAAGCCACGTGCCCTTCTTATAAGATTCAACAACTATCGTCTGCGTAATGAAGTTTGAACCTGTAAAACTAAACTTAAGGGATCTGGTTTGACACTGTCTGAGTTCCTCACTAAGCCACGCCATGACGTATTCATGGATTCTCGCAAACACTTTGGCCCGAGACAGTGTTGGACTTCTGATGGTAAAATCATCGTGCAGCTGCCCAACAATGAGAGACGTAAGATCGAGTCAATGACCGAGCTGCGTAAACTGTGTAAGGAATTCCCAGCATCACAACTGCTACCTAGTGAAACACGGTCTGCAGCAGCTAAGGTAAACCCTTCAAACAATGAGAGACGGCCTCGCAAGCCTGTGAAGTGATCGGTGATGTAAATACATTCAGCCATGTCCATCTTAAATTCATTGCATAACATATCCCTATTTGCTTATATTTAATTTCTTATTGTGGTCAGTTGTAATTTATTTCTTTCTCTCTCATACTTTCAAACTGTTTTGACTTCTATATATATCATTCACTGTTAAATCAAAATTTTTTATATGTAAATACACACGATCAAGTAATCTTGAGTGACACATTTGAGTGACAATACGTCAAATGTGTCACTCAAGATTACTTGATCTTGAGTGACACATTTGACGTATTGTTTTGTCGTTAGTTGAACCTGGTCTTGCAGTGACATGTATCATTGTCGGTGCGTTTAGTTATCTCCTGCTCGACTTCTGCCTCTGAAGGGGACTATGCCAGTGCGTTTAGTGACAATGATGATGGGGATTTGAAACACATAAACACATAACTTCTTGACATTTTTGGTTCTTACCGCAAGTTTTTTAATGTAGTTCACATACTACCGGCCATGGAGCGGTAGCGAGAGATCCACTCCGACGACGGCAGTGAGGGCCCGGCTCTGCGTCGCCCATACTGGGCAGACCGCCAGCGTGTGCTGGGCCGAGTCCTCACTGCAGTCGCAGTGGTGGCAGACGGGACTCAATTCCCTCCTGGCGACCGAGGGCAGGTACTTTCCAAAGCAGCCGTGCCCGGAAAGCACCTGCGTCAGCCGGAAGGAAAGGGTCCCGTGCTGCCGCTCTGCCCACTCGGCGATGACCTTCTGGATAGCCTCCACGGCGGCGAAGCCAGCGCGTGGAGTCAACCAGCCGGAACGACCATCTGACCATGGTGGCTCGGCGAGCGGCTTCGTGCCACTCGCGCACGTCTTCGGGCGGAGGGCGAAATCCGCTCTCCGCCCGGAAATCAGCCACTCGCCGATAGACTTCGGCTAGCACTTTCTCCTCCAAATCCCACGGGGGTGTTCCGGCCAAGGCGCAAGCCGCCTCGGTGGACACCGTGCGGTATTCGCATATGGCTCTGACCGTCAATATTCTCTGGGGACGCCAGAGGCGCGCCCTATTCTGGGCGGTCAGAGCCGCCACCCACACCGGTGCACAGCGCCATGGACCGGACAACTCCCGCGTACAGCCGCCTCGTGGGAACACTGGACCCGCCCAAATTGGGCAAAAGTCTAGGGCGGAGGCAGTCTCCACCAGCTTTGGACCAAGCTGTCGGAAGTGCTCGTCGAAGAGCCACCTACCGTCTAGGACCAGGCCCAGGTACCTCATCTGGGCCCGGATCGGTACGAGGACCGAGCCGACCTCGATGGAGGCACCGGCGGGTGGACCACGAAGGGGCCCATGAAATAGTAGGGCCTCCGTCTTGTCCAGGGCCACCCGTAATCCCAATGCCTCAATGCGACCGACCACCAGGGAAACTCCTGTGGCGGCCAAGCGCGCCGCATCCTGGAAGTTAGCCCCCCCGGGCCGTGACTAAGGTGTCATCTGCATAACAGAGTACACCCAGCCCGGGGGGGAGACACCCTCGTAGGGCCCAGTCGTATCCAATGTTCCACAGAAGC